ACCAAAGCAAGGTCAGCAGGACAGTGTCCAGTATGCTGAGATAGTCATAACTGAATTCTTTGTATTCTTTGTGCCCAACCCGAATAACCAACTGTCCTTGGTTAACTACAACTGCTACATTTAGATGAAACAATGAAATACCTGTAACCATGCTTCTGCTTCTGTAAGCCTGCTTTTTGTCACCCCAACCCTATATAAACTGCCTGAGTTTTAACCTCGGCACGCTCAGTCCCCTGAAAGACTGAAGCGTCCACAGGTACCTGTGTAAACAATAAATAACCTCTTGCACTTGCATCCAGTGGTCTGGTCTCGTCTCTTGGGGGCAAGGGCTTCCCCCTGACAGGCTCCAAACTCTTGGGGTCTCTTGGGGGTCTTTCATCACTATCTGTAACAAATATAAGTTGCATATAATATGAGAAGCCAAATATGATGTGAGCAAAATATGTTTATGTACCTGTAAATATAAAAGGTAAAGAAAAATTGGTAGTATATTTTAGAAAGAGCAAGTAGGGTACAAGGGAGTTTTTGAAAGGAGACAAAGGAAGTGGGGGAGTGATGTGATTGAATTCCGACTCAGACCCCTGAACATGGGTCTCAGAAGGCCTGGGCAGTCTAAGGGTCCTCTGACAGTGGAACCAGGACTTATCCATGATGAATGAATGCACTTTGGAGCACATTCCCCATGGAGGGATACTCACGTAGCCTAGAGGCAGGAGGGGGTGCCTAGACCCTGCTCCAAATGACTTGACAGATTTGGTTAACCCCTCCTGGAAGGCACTACCCTCCCTGTTGAGTGGAGGGGAGAATGGGATGGGAAGGGTTCAGGCACATGGAAGAAAGGGGGGAGGAGAGGGAACTGGGATCAATATGTAAAATATGATTTCAGAAAGGAAAAAAGAGTATAAAAGAAACCAAACTAATTTTACATCTGAGTCAATATCAAAGGAATGACAAAATTATCAATAAAATAATAAAAGAGATCCATATTTCAATATGGAAAATCATGCTGGTTGCAGCGTGATACTCTCTTGCCAGTTTGTCTCCCATCTGGGTATCAAAATGTAGCAACTCTGGAGGTGAAGCCTCTCAGGCAGGACTAAAGAGAATAAGGTCAGTTGCAGTTGAAATGACAGACATTCAGCAAAGAGCTGTTTCCATTTTTTTTCATGTGACAATACAGGGCCTAGAAGGTTGTGGAGCAAAACAATAAACCAACAGAATGGACATCTCCTTCCTCATCCCAGCTACTTAGAATTGAGTGCCTTTGAAATCCAGGGTGTCATATGGTTTAACAAGATGATCTACAGGATTATATAACTTTAGAGAGACTACTCAGTCATCTATGCATCCATCCTTGAATATCTTACAATGAAGATGCTATGCAAGACCTAAAATTCTAATGCCATTTTCCATAAAAGTCATCAACATTTACCCAACAACAGCCTGTGCATTGCTGTCCTCTGTGGAATTTTGTGGTCTCCACATAATGTGGTGCTATATTAATTGGTTAATCTGAGTAACTTTTCCCTTCATAAGGTGCAGAAAATATTGCATTTTCAATATAAACATGAATTAGCAGTGTACATATTTGCTTTTTACTACAGTGTGGAGAGTGGCGTCAGTTTACTCCCTTGCTGTTGAGCAGAAGCATCTTACACACACATGGGGTCATGATGTCACAAGGATAAAAACCAACATCCACAGAGTGCCATTTTTTCTAAAACTATATATGATATCTTATAAATTGTTATATAAAAGATGTGTATTAAATGACTTGGTACTTTTTTGACATATTAAATTCTATATCATCTCAGTAAGATTACTAATGTAATACCTAACAACATGAACTTATTGAGCTCATAAGGACACATACACTTTAAATTCTTTTCCAGCTGCATTTAACCCTTACTTGCTGGTGTATCTATACTTTATAAAGACATAGAGTACTGATCATATGTTTGACTCTGTGAATATTATTTTACTTATGCCCCTAACAACTTGAAGGAAAGAAGAACACCATTCTGGAATTTTCAGCAAAAGAATTTTTTAAGTGCACTAATATTTAGCATGGATCACTGTGAATGCATCTTTTCCTTTAGATTGCAAAATGGACAATAGCAAAGAGTCTCTTCATTGTGGCCATCTTACCAGAAGAGGGCACCACTAACACATTATCTATATAGTTTATATAATCAGCCATAGAAGTAAAATCATTCACACTAGAAAATAAAAGTCCTAAGTTCTTGATCCACTTGGCCCACAATAAAATTTATATTGCTTTGCTCACTTTGTTTAGAGTTGCCATTGCAGTGACGATACTCATCAATAGCCCACCAAACCTGAAAATCCAACAAGTACAGTGTCATTAGAATAGGGGGACAAGCATCTCCTTGAACTATCATCAACAGTCTTCTCTGGTTCTGAAGGATCCTTTCTTCTGTCTATTTGTTATATACATAGTACCATATTTAATTAGAGAGAAATGAGTTAGCATACAAGTTAAGGTTTGATGGGCAAAGAAACTAGTCAACAAAACACCAAATAACCCTATTAAAAAGTGGGGTACAGAACTGAAGAAAGAATTCTCAATGGAGGAAATCAAAAAGGCTGAAAGACACTTAAGAAAATGCTCCACATCCTTAGCTATCAGGGAAATGCAAATCAAAACAACTTAGAGATACCATCTTACTCCTGCCAGAATGGCTAAAATTAGAAACACCAGTGATGACTTATGTTGGAGAGGATGTGGAGAAAGTGGAACACTCCTCCACTGCTGGTGGGAGTGCAAACTCATACAGCCATTTTGGAGATCAGAGTGGCAGTTCCTCAGGAAAATGGGAATTAGTTTACCACAGGACCCGGCAATCCCCCTCTTAGGCATATACCCAAAGGATTCACATCCATGCAACAAAGACATCTGTTCAACTATGTTCATAGCAGCACTATTTGTAATAGCAAGAGCCTGGAAGCAACCTAGATGCCCCTCAATTGAAGAATGGTTAATGAAGATGTGGCAATCTATACAATGGAATACTACTCTGCAGAAAAAAATAATGGTATCTTGAAATTCGCAGGCAAGTAGATGGCACTTGAAGAAACCATCCTGAATGAGGTAACCCAGTCACAAAACAGAGGAACACAGTATGTACTCACTCATATATGGATTTTAGACCTAGATCAAATGATCACCAGCCTATAATTCACATCACCAGATGAACTAGGATACAAGGTGTATTCTAAGAGATTCATATAAAGTCCCTCACAGAACTGGGATGGGACAAGTCCCCCAGAGCTCAGGTGAAGTGGGGGGGGGACAGCGAATGGAGAGAGAAGTAGGAGAAAATGAGGGGGAGGAAGGGAAAACACGTGCGACCAGGAAGATTGAGCCTGGTTAGGAATAGAAGATAGGAAAGAGAGAGAGAGAGAGAGACAGAGACAGAGAGCGAGAACATAAAAGAGGGAGCCAATATTGGTTTGAAGAAAAAACTGAACACAAAGAAAGGTCGAGAGAACTACAAGACTGCTCCCAACTAACAATCTCAGCTTCCGTGGAAAGGCTACCATAAATGTCCTTCCTGGAGAGTGAGATCAACAACTAACTTCTCCATGGAGCCCTCAACTAATGCCTGTTGAAAATAGGAGCAAACACCCATACATAAACACTGAGTCGAACTAGAACCCAGAAGCAGATGGAGAGGACAAGACCATGTGGCAGAAACACATAGAGACAGCTTACCTGAACAAGGAGGAGCTAACGGCCACTAGACTGATAGCTGAGAAGCCAGCATGGGACTGACTCAGGTACTCCTGAATAAGGGTCTCAGCCAGAAGGACTGAGCAGTCTAAGAGACCTCAGACAGTGGAGCCAGGATGTATCCCTGGTGCACAAAAGGACCTTACGAAAACATCCCCCATGGAGGGATACTGCATTAACCTAGAGACAGGAGAGAAGCCCTAGTCCCTACATCACAGGACCTGTCAGATCTACATGACCCCAACTGGATGGCATTCCCCTACATATGGAATTGGAGTGGGGGGATGGGAGGGGAGGGTGTTTAGAGTGCATGTGAGAGGGCAGAGAGAATAAAAGGGAGGGAAGGAGGAAGGGAGGGCTGGGGAGAGGGAGGGAGGGAGGGAGAGGGAACTGGGATCGACATGTAAAATAATAAATTAAATTAAAAAAAAATGCTTTGACTCCAAAATTTAAGTCTAAGGACAAGTTACTGGGGAAAAGGATTTCTATTTTTGTTTCCACGGAAAGTGAAAAGATGTGGATTCCTTCCAGACTAATGTGGTTTGAGCAAGCCAGACCGCCTGAAACAGAGTACAAGCTGATCCTACATTCAAAACAGCTGGACAAAACAGCCCTACAGACTATAGCCAGGATATCTTAATCTTCTTCGAATCCCCCATGACAGTGCTCCTTACCAGCAGGAAGTAGTTTGGAAAGAACAATGCCCAAATTCCCAAATATTGTGTATAAATGTTTGTTTTCATTTAACTGGACTTTGTTATATAAAATTAAATCAAAAAATAAAAAGAAAAAGAAAAAGAAAAAGAAAGTTTTGATGGGCAAAAGAGGTTTCTGCTGAAGAGCATCCAGGAAAACAAGGAAGCGGATAATGTGTCTAAATATTCTCTGAGTACATTATAAACAAAAAAATAAGCCTTGAACTGCTCACTAGAACTTGACTTACTTAGAAGAGCCAGTTAAAGAAGGCTGCACAGAAATGCATGGGCAATACTCAGGGTCATAATTATTCACCACAAGAGAGAAGAAGAAAAACACAGAAATGCCCTTCCTTGTCAGGGCAATATCTATAAATAAGTAGATAACCAAGGTTTGCAATAAATAAAGGACTACCATGGTGGAAAGCCATGTGGTGTCTATTCCATATCTTATTATTTGCATATTTGAACATCAGAAACCACAAGTGTCTCACAGTTGCTTAAAAGTAATGTAATTTTCAGAAGAGTAGTACCTAGCTTGAGACTGAGGTTAGAAAGCACAATGGATTTGTGGGTGCAGATCTTCAGCTTCATGCTGATCAGTGTCACAGGTAAGACAGGCTCAGAATTTAGACTTCAATACTATATTCCCTGGCGTAGTTTATATAAGATAAACTACCTTTCAATGTGTTTTTTCTGAATGTTGGATTGTATCAGTTTATTTGCCCATCTCTATGGCTACTAACATCTCTGTCTTTTCTTCTTAATCCTATTCATAGGGTCCAGGGCAGATATTGTGCTTACACAGTCTCCAGCATCCAAGGCTGTATCTCAGGGGGAGAAGGTCACCATCACCTGTAGTGCCAGCTCAAGTGTAAGCACAAGTCGTTTGCACTGGTACCAACAGAAGCCTGGAGCTGCCCACAAACTCCTGATTTATGGAACATCCAACCTGGCTTCTGGAGTCCCAACTCGCTTCAGTGGCAGTGGGTCTGGGACTTCTTATTCTCTCACAATCAGCAGCATAGAAGCTGATGATGTTGCCACTTACTACTGTCAGCAGTGGCATAGTAGCCCGACCCACAGTGAAATAGACTGGAACAAAAACTCTTAACCACTTAGAGCCCAGCTGCTTCCTCTGTGAGGTCAACTATGACAAGGCTTTTTGTGATAATGGCAGAATCTCTCAGATTTTCTTTAATAGAGATGTTATATCATATATACATATATATGATATATATATATATATATATCACTTGTATATGTGTATGTGTGTCTGTGTGAGTGTGTGTATACACTTCTTCTGAATTTTACTATTTCTTATATCAAAACTTTTTATGTGAATCTGGTAGACTCTTTCACCTCTATCAAATTTATTGTTTGGTTTTCATGATGAAAAACTTTCTTCTGCAAATGTGCTTTGGATATCACACAGCTACATTGAATTTAGTTGGGATAAGTGTGGAAAAACTGTGCTTAAAATTGTCCTAGTGCATTTGGCTTATGGGTATGTGAGGCTTATTCACTTACTTGGTGAGGGATGGTGTTGAGCTACTCAGACTGGTGGATTTCCCTCCCTTCGTGAGTAAGGCATATTTGGGCCAGATATATCAGAGTGTATTTAGAATTGTGATTAGGTTACTTTCAAGTTTCTTCATGGCAATGGAGAAATTGAAATGTCTAGTGTCCTGGGAGGTGGATAATATTACAAGTGAGTTAGAAGAGCCATGTCAATGATATACTTCTGTAGAAATCACAGAAAACCTACAAACTCATGGAAACTTAACAATGTGAAATTGCACCACACTTGGGTCAAAGAAGAAATAAGAAAGAAATTAAGGACTTTCTAAAATTCAATGAGAATTAGGACACAAAATACCCCAACTTATGGGACACCTTGAAAGCAGTGTCATTTCACTAAGTGCCCATATGAAAAAAAACAGAGAATAGTCACATTAGAGAATTAACAGCAATACTGAAAGCCTTAGAGCAAAAAGGAGCAAACTCACCCCGGAGGAGTAGACACCAGGAAATAATCAATTTGAGAGCTGAAATCAACAAAATAGAAACCAGGAAAACAATACAAAAAGTCAATGCAACAAAGAGTTGGTTTTTTGAGAAAATCAACAAGATAGACAAACCTCTTTCCAAACTAATGAAAAAGCAGAGAGAGATCATGCAAAGTAACAAAATCAGTAATGAAAAGGGGAACATAACAACGGACACCAAGGAAATCCAGACAATTTTCAGGTCATACTTTGAAAACCCGTATTCCACAAAATTTGAAAATTCAAAGGAAATGGACAAATTTCTGGATAACTATCACTTACCAAATTTAAATCAAACAACTAAAATAGACCTATAACCCACTATGAAATAGAAGCAGTCATCGAAAGCCTTCCAACCATAAAAAGCCCAGGGACAGATGGCTTCAGTGCAGAACTCTACCAGAAATTCAAGGAAGAACTAATACCAATACTCTTCAAATTGTTCCACACAATAGAAAGAGAAGGTTCATTACCTGTAAGGAGTAGGGTTTTTCCTCCCGCCGCTGGTCTGGTCCCGCTGCCGTGCCAGCCCCAATTAACAGAGACTCTGTATTTGATATAATGCTGTTGGCCAGGTAATAGTTTCTTATCAGCTACCTCTGTCTTAAGTATTATCCCATTTCTGTTAATCTACATTTTTCCACGTGGTCTTCTTACCGAAGAGCGGGGGGGCCAGCGGTTCTGTTCTCTCCAGACTCTCCATCTTGACTCCTCCTTACTACTTCCTCTTTCCTCCTTCTCTTTTAGTCCCACCTATCTTCCTTTCCTATTGGCCAACAGTGCTTTATTCATTAACCAGTATGAGAAACATATATACATAATGGCATCTCCCATCATCTCCTCTTTTCTGTCTAAATAAAAAGAAGGGTTTTAACCTTAACATAGCAAAATATATCACATAACAGTTATCAAAAGAATCACAGTTAACACTATTTAGTCCATTAACATTTAGCAAGATTTAAAGACAATATTCCATCATCTACCCTATCTTTGTGAGTCTGAAGTCCTATACATAACTTATCTTTAAGCCTAACTATAACCATAACTATCTGTCTTCAACTCCTTCAAAGACCACAGAAGGGTAGTATATAAACCCTAGAAATGACAGAGACAACTCACTGCGTGGCAGTCACCTGAAGTTCTTCTGTAATCTTCCATCTTCAGCCCACAGGCCATAGTGTTTCTGGCAGACTCTTCACAAAGCAGGAAACTTTAAACTGTCTTCCTGTATTGGCAGTTTGTCAGTCATTTTTCTCTGTGTCCTGTAGACTGTCTGGCAGACTCTTCCATGAAGCAGGAACTCTGTAGTAGTCACTTTTCTGTGGGTCCTGCATGTCCAGTTTATACAGCACAAAGTCAAACAGTCAAGACAAGAGCAGTATCTTGTCCAAATGGCTAGTCTTGCCATATTGGAAGTAAACTCCATATGTGATTCTTCGATGTCCATCTTCCTTTCTGACATAGGTGGTGTTGCCAGGAGCATTTATGTCTCACTGTCAAGAAAAACCCTAAACCATTTTAAACGCCATATTCTGTAGGTCTTTGAAAGGTTTGAAGAATGCCTTTCTATCTCAAATACATCTCTGTGCATCTTAAAAACCTAACTAACATAACTCTAAGCTTTGACTATCATAGGTAATTATCTATAATCTGCACTACATTATATATTACATTTCTAAATGAGCTATATAAACACAAGACCTAAACAAGAGGAGAAATATACATGTCACAAAATTGACCTTAAATTGTATCAATAAATGAAAATCCATTCCAAAACAAAGTATCCATATCTATACCTTAATTCCCTTTTTACCTTTAAAAAGAATTGGCTATGATCATTAACCATTTATAAACAATACCATTTAAATGAAAACAAACATTTATAAACAAGATTTGGGAATTTGGGCATCGTTCTTTCCAAACTACTTCCTGCTGGTAAATGGTGCTGTCTTTGGGGATTTTAACAAGATGCAGAAATCCTTGCTGTAGTCAGCAAGGCTGCTTTGTCCAGCTGTTTTGAATGTAGGATCACCTGGTACTCTGTTTCAGGCGGTCTGGCTTGCTCAAACCACATTAGTCTGGAAGGAATCCACAGCTTTTCATTTTCTGTGGAAACAAAAATAGAAATCCTTTTCCCCAGTAACTTGTCCTTAGACTTAAATTTTGAAGTCAAAGCATTTTTAAAATATATAAATTGAATTAAACCAGCAGCATTTCTTTTATCAGTTGTTGTTATTTCTTAATTATTAACCCATTTCTATTAATCTAGTATTTCCACGTGGTCTTCTTACCGGACTATGGGGCCAGGTCTGATCTCCCCAGTCTCTCCATCTATGATGGGAGATGTCATTCTGTAAATATGTTTCTTATACTGTATAATGAATAAAGAACTGTTGGCAAATAGGAAGGCAAGATAGGTGGGACTAGGAGACAAGGAGGTAAGAGGAAGTAGTAAGGAGGAGCCAAGATGGAGAGTCTGGAGAGAACAGAACTGCTGGCACCCCGATCTTCAGTAAGAAGACAACATGGAAAAATATAGATTAACATAAATCAGTTAATAATTAAGACAGAGCTAGTCGATAAGAAACTAGTACCTGGACAACAGCATTATATCAAATACAGAGTGTCTGTGTGTTAATTGGGGCTGGTGCGGCGACAGGACCAGACCAACGGTGGGAGGAAAAACCTTGCTTCTTACAATTACCAAACTCTTTCTATGAGGCCACAATAACCTTGGTACCCAAGCCTCACAAAGACACAACTAAGAAAGAAAACTACAGACCGATATCCCTGATGAAAATCAATGCAAAAATACTCAATAAAATACTGGCAAACCGAATCCAAGAGGACATCAGAGAAGTCATCCACCATGACCAAGTAGGCTTTATCCCTGGATTACAGGGATGGTTTAACACATGAAAATCTATCAACATGATCCACCATATAAACAAACTGAAAAAGGAAAACCATATGATTATCTCCCTAGATGCTGAAAAAGCCATCGACAAAATTCAACACCCTTTCATGATAAAGGTCTTGGAGAGATCAGGCATAACAGGAACATACCTAAACATATTAAGAGCAATATACAGCAAAAGAACAGCTAACATCAAACTGAATGGAGAGAAACTTACGTTGATTCCTCTAATATCATGAACAAGACAAGGTTGCTCTCTCTCTCCATATCTCTTCAATATTGTACTTGAACTTCTAGCTAAAGCTATAAGACAACAAAAGGAGATCAAGGGGATCCAAATTGGAAAGGAAGAAGTCAAACTGTCTCTATTTGCAGATGATATGATAGTTTACATAAGCGACCCAATAAACTCTACCAGAGTACTCCTACCGCTGAGAAACACCTTCAGCAAACTAGCAGGATACAAGATAAACTAAAAAAAATCAGTACCCTACTTTATTCAGACAACAAAGAGGCTGAGAAAGAAATCAGAAAAATATCACCCTTTACAATAGCCACAAACAACATAAAGTATCTTAGGGTAATGCTTACCACACAGCGAAACACCTATATAACAAGAACTTTGTGACTTTAAAGAAAGAAATTAAAGAAGATACCAGAAAATGGGAAGATCTCCCATGCTCTTGTATAGGTAGGATTAATATAGTAAAAATGGCAATCTTGGCAAAAGCAATCTACAGATTCAATGCAATCCCCATTAAAATCCCAGCACAATTCTTCACTGACATTGAAAAGATAATAATCAACTTCATTTGGAAAAACAAAAGACCCAGGATAGCCAAAACAACTCTGTACAATAAAAGAACTTCAGTAGGCATCACCATCCCAGACTTTAAGCTCTACTACAGCGCTATAGTTCTGAAAACAGCCTGGTATTGGCACAGAAATAGACAGGTAGACCAATGGAATCGAATTGAAAATCCTGATATTAACCCGCACACCTATGAACACCTGATTTTCAACAAAACAGCTAAAATTATACAATGGGGCAAGGACAGCACCTTCAACAAATGGTGCTGGAACAATTGGGTGATGGTTTGTAGAAGACTGCAGGTAGACCCATGTCTATCACCATACACAAAACTCAAGTCCAAATGGATCAAAAACCTCAACATCAATTCAGCCACACTGAACCTCTTAGAAGAGAAAGTAGGAGGTACCCTAGAACAAATTGTTATAGGAGACCGCTTCCTGAACATAACTCTAGGAGCACAGACACTGAGATCAACAATTAATAAATGGATCCTCCTTAAACTTAGAAGCTTCTGTAAAGCAAAGGACACAGTCGACAAGACCAAACAGCAGCCCACAGACCGGGAAGAGATTTTTCACCAATCCTACATCTGACAAAGGGCTGATCTCTAAAATATACAAAGAACTCAAGAAAAAAGTCAACAAAACACCAAATAACCCTGTTTAAAAATGGGGTACAGAACTGAAGAAAGAATTCTCAATAGAGGAAATCAAAAAAGCTAAAAGACACTTAAGTGCTCAACATACTTAGCCATCAGGGAAATGGGAATCAAAACAACTTTGAGATACTATCTTACACCTGCAGAATGTCTAAAATTAGAAACACCAATGACAACTTATGCTGGAGAGGATGTGGAGAAAAGGAAACACTCCTCCACTGCTGGTGGGAGTGCAAACTCGTATAGCCGTTTTTGGAGATCAGTACGGCGGTTCCTCAGGAAAATGGGAATTGGTTTACCACAGGACCCAGCAATCCCCCTCTTAGGCATATACCCAAGTGATCTGCATCCATGCAAAAAGACATGTGCTCAACTATATTCATAGCAGCATTATTTTTTTAATAGCAAGAACCTGGATGCAACCTAGATGCCCCTCAACTGAAGAATGGATAAAGATGTGGCACATCTACACAATGGAATACGACTTTGCAGAAAAGAATAATGGAATCTTGAAATTCGCAGGCAAGTGGATGGTACTAGAAGAAACCATCCTGAATGAGGTAACCCAGTCACAAAAAGAGGAACATGGTATGTACTCGCTCATATATGGAGTTTAGACCTAGAGCAAAGGATCACCAGCCTATAATTCACACCACCAGAGGAACTTGGATACAAGGTGCATTCTAAGAGATTGATTTAAAGTCCCTTACAGAAGGGGAAATGGACAAGTCCCCCAGAGCATATGGAAAGTGGGGGGCAGTGAATGGAGAGATAAGTAGGAGAAAGAGAAGGGGAGGAGAGGAAACACCTGCGACTCAGGAGATTGAGTCAGGATAGGAATAGAAGACAAGAGAGAGAGAGAGAGAGAGAGAGAGAGAGAGAGAGAGAGAGAGGTAACATAAAAGAGGGAGCCATTATGGTTTGAAGAGAAAACTGAACCTAAAGAAAGGTCTAGAGACCTACAAGACTGCCACCACTAACAATTTGAGCAACCATGGAAAGGCTACCATAAATGCCCTTCCCGGATAGTGAGATCAACAACTAACTTATCCACCATCATGGAGCCCTCATTTAGTATCTGTTGGAAACAGAAGCAAACACTCATAACTAAACACTGAGTCGAACTAGAATCCAGATGCAGAGGGAGAGGACAATACCAGGTTGCAGAAACACATAGAGACAGCTGACCCAAACCAGGAGGAGCTAACGGGCCCCCACCCACTGATAGCTGGGAAGCCAGCATGGGACTGACTCAGACCCCCTGAATATGGGTCTCAGCTAGAAGGACTGAACAATCTAAGGTACCTAAGACAGTGGAACCAGGATGTATTCCTGGTGCACAAAAGGACCTTGCAGACACATCCCCCATGGAGGGATAACTGCCTTAACCAGAGACAGGAGAGAAGCCCTAGTTCCTATTTCAAATGACTTGATAGATTTACTTGACCCCACCTGGATGGCATTGCCCTACATGTGGAATTGAGGTGGGGGATGGGAGGGGAGGGGGGTCAGGGTACATGTGATGGGGGGGGAGAGAGAGAGTAAGAAGGAGGGAGAGGGAACTGGGATAGATTAAAAAGAGAGAGAGAAAAAAATATGGGGTCGACATCACCAACCAGGTTCTCCAATCTTTGGTGGAAGCTTCCAGCTAAGGAGTGTCGGTACTGAGCTTGTGTAAGAAAGGCGATGCCATGATAATGGATGAGGCAGGGAAAATCTTCAAGAAGGAAAAGGAAATGTAAAAACGTATGATGTCACACCATTTGAAGCAGCATGTCATCGATGGAGAGAAAACAATCATACAGAACCCTACAGACCAGCAGAAGAAGGACAATGAAAAGGCTGAGTTTGAGGTACATGAAGTTTATGCTGTGCATGTCCTCGTCAGCTCAGGAGAAGGCAAGGCCAAAGATTCAGGACAGAGAACCACCATTTACAAACGAGGCCCCTCTAAACAATATGGCCTGAAAAAGAAAACTTCCCATGCCTTTTTCAGGGAGGTGGAAAGGCATTTTGATGCCCTGCCATTTACTTTAAGAGCATTTGAAGATGAGAAGAAGGCTCGAATGGGTGTAGTAGAGTGTGCCAAACATGAGTTACTACAGCCATTTAATGTTCTCTATGAGAAGGAGGGCGAATTTGTTGCCCAGTTTAAATTTACAGTCCTACTTATACCCAACGGCCCCCTGCAGATAACCAGTGGTCCCTTGGAGCCTGACCTCTACAGGTCTGAGATGGAAGTCCAGGATGCAGAGCTTAAGGCACTTCTCCAGAGTTCTGCAAGTTGAAAATCCCAGAAGAAGAAAAAGAAGGCCTTCAAGACTGCAGAGAATGCCACCTGGAGAAACATTAGAAGAGAATGAGGCTGGTGACTGAGGTGGATCCCATATGCCCAGCTTGTCATTTTTGCCTCATCCCCTTCCCACCGCACCCCAGGATCTATGAAGTGCAGTTGTCTTCTACACCCAAGACCACCAGCAGAGCAAGCAGAGCCTTCTGCCCATATCCCAGTTCCCACACCCACTTACCCACCCACTCTTTCCAACAACAAACCAGCTCCAATTGAATCTGGTCTTGGGAGGCCAGGCTTCCCAACCAGCCACTGAAGACTACTTTCAGCAGAAAAAAAAAATTGAATAATAAAATCAGGAGTAAACAAACAAACAAACAAAAAACCACAAATTTTTTCCAGTGTCCTCATCAGTGTGTCAAACATCTTCTTGCCAGGTAATACTGGTTATGAGGCTTTCTGAGATTCCCCTACATCTTCACAACTTACTTGGGTCATGGCTGACCCACCCTGAATCTTTGCAGAAGTCATGGAGATTCATCACTTGTTACTCATTGACTTTATCTTGTCATTATTGTCCATGGAGCAAAATTACTCACAATTGTGTCTCAAGCTGTTTCTAATCTTTCTCAATATGTTGATTTTCACATTTACTGGAGGCCAGCGCTTTAATGAATGAAGATATTCAGAACAAAAGGAAACTTTTGCTGTAGAGTTTGCATAACTCTCAGGTGTTTCTAAAAGACAATTTTTAAATCACTTTAAAATGTCAATCCTTTCACAATCTGCTCTGCCAAATAGTAAAATAAAAAAAAACTTTTAAAAAGAAATCTCTTGCATCAATATACAGAATGAAAATGGTCTACAAAAAAATCAGTCTCACAATTAAACAGATAATGAAACAGAATAAGCTTCATGGCCTCCATAACAACTACAGCTACCTATGTAAGGACCTGCAAACATTTATTTACTCTGTAGAACATATTATATGTGACATTCTCTGTAAAGGAGGGAAAATAACAAGGAAATTCTACATTGCTTATGACAGAAATCAAAATAAAGTGTAAATCACAGACTAGTCTGTCCTTTGTTTTCCATAAAGGAACATACTCTCTACAAATAAACCTGTATTGCCTGTGATCTGACACAGAAGGGAAGCACAGGCCTTACTCAATCAGTGACCCCTTAACCAATGACAAACCAACGAGTCATTGTTGATTTGCATGATGTGCCCAGAGCACAGCCCACTGCCCAGAGGACTTCTTCATAGTCAGGTCACACCTGTGCTGGAGTCAGCCTCACATGGGTCACAGCACAGACATGAGGACCCCAACTCAGCTTGCAGGGTTGTTGCTGCTCTGCCTTATAGGTAAGGATGACAGCATTGGAAATGTATTCATCTGATATGTGGTCAGATCTGCCTGGTCTCTGGGAATGTCCTCATTTAACAGAATTGTGTGGAAATTTGTTCTTAATTTTCCAATCTCAGGTGCCAGATGTGATTTCCAGATGACCCAGTCTCCAGCCTTGCTGTCTGCATCTGTGGGAGACAGAGTCACCATCACATGCCAGGCAAGTGAGGACATTAGTAATTATTTATCATGGTATCAGCAGGAACCAGAGAAACCTCCTAAGCTCCTGATAAGTTATGCAGACAGCTTAGAAGATGGGGTCCCATCGAGGTTCAGTGGCAGTGGATCTGGCACACAGTTTTCTCTCAAGATCAGCAGCCTGCAGCCTGAAGATGTGGCAACTTATTACTGCCAACAGAATGACAGAACCCCTCCCACAGTGATTCAAGCCATGACATAAACCACCCAGGGAAGCAGAAGTGAGAGCCCAGGCTGCCCTGATTCCTTATTCCACCATTACCAAATGATGACACTTTCTCTTTGCCTGGAGTTAAAGTTCAATGTGAAGCATATATATATATGTATGTATGTATGTATGTATATATATATATGTATGTATGTATGTATATATATGTGTGTGTATATATATATATATATATATATATGTATGTATGTATCAGAGAAACTGTTTTTTCCTAAATATCTCCTCTCCCTGATGTCTAGCAAGAAAACAAAAAACAAAACAAGACAAAAACAAAGAAATTTTTCTCATGATTTAATGATGTATACAAAAAAAAATCCAGATCAACAGAGCTATGGCAACATTCATACAACATGTTTGTCAACATCGGCCCACAAAGACACACCAAGGTGGAGTTCATTTGGAAAGTAATTTTTCATCTAATTATAGCATTAAAACACTGAGCAAGCAGGTTAGCGGGATACTCAGTTATTAAGAACCATCACAGCTCCTATAGAGGACCCAGGTTTGATTCCCAGCATACATATAACAGCTAGCAATGTTTCATAACTCCAGTCCCAGGGTGTCTAAAATATTCTCTTCTTCTAGACTCCAAGGCATTGCAGTCATATGGTGAACCAGAAATGTGCAGTCAGAACACGAGTGCACATGAAAAAGTAAGCATCAAAAATATGAAAGTCCGAAGGGACTAGTATACAGAAACACTGATACAGGGAAGAGATTTGTTCTCAGAATCCAATCAACTCTTCTAGACCACATGGTTCTTAGATAGGGGGTTACTTCTTGTACCAAGTAACGGAGAGGTAGAAGTTTCCTCCATTACCTGTTCGTCTCTTTGCTTAAAGGGCAAGGGCCTTAGTTAATTTACTGTTCCCCCCCCCCCTCTCTCTCTCTCTCTCTCTCTCTCTCTCTCTCTCTCATCCCTCCCTCTCTCTCTCCATCCCCCCTCTCTCTTTCTCCTGTACCTCACCACCCCCCTTTCTCTCTATATCTATCTCTTTCATTCTTTCTTTGACAGGGAAATCTTTTCTTGGCTTATACTGTTTCATCATAGCCCATCACAGAAGGGAGTTATGTCAGGAATTCACACAGGGCTGGTCCCTAGAGGCAGGAGCTGATGTAGTAACCATGGGAGGGTGATGCTTTCAGGTTTATTCGTCGTGGTTTGTTCAGTTTGCTTTATTTTTTTCTTTCTTTTTGTATTTTTTATTGAAATACAGTTTTCCTTCCTTCTATTCCTCTCTGTTTCACTCCACCAACCATACAGATATACTTCATTTCAAAATTTCCCTGGAAAATTGCACACTTTGAGGATATAACAACAAAACAAAATATGAAACAATATGAAAACTGGCATATTGAAGTTGGAAAAGACAATCCAAGAAAAAAAAACCTAAAGAACTCCATCCAAAGGAAGCAGCAAGACTCAGAGACACATTGTTTCCCCAGTCAGGATTCACAAAAGAGAATTAAAGTAAAAACTATAGTACTTATCTATACAGAGGACTTGGTGTAGACACAGGCAGGTCCTATGCCTGCTGCTTCAGTCTCTATCAGTTCATATCAACTTTTCTCACTTGCTATAGAGGATATTGTTCTCCTCGAGTCCTCCTTCCCTGCTGACTTCCCCACACATTCTGCCTCCTCTTCCATGGTGTTCCCTGAGCTCTGGGAGGGAGATATTTGATGGAGACATATCAAGTATGGCTGTGTGTTCTTAGGTCTCAATCCCTTTCTGAATAATGTCTAACTATTAGTCACATTACTTGTTCTTATCTGTTGCATGAGGAGGACTCTCTGATGATGGCCGAAAAGGGCACCAATTTATTACCACAGTAGACTACCATTGCGAGTCATATATATAACTAATAATCAGTGGTATTTGGATTTATCTTTGGTCTCTGTGCTGTATATCTTGGTTACCAAAGGAGTGTCGGGTATGACATGGATTGGGCGTTATGTCAATTCAGATATCAGTTGGTTACTCTCACAAGGTTTGTAACACCATTGCCCTAGCATATTTTGCAGTTAGGTCAGATTATAGATTAAATGCTTTGTGTTTATGTTGTCGTTCACTTGGTATCTTGCAGAGAATCTTTCCTTGTCATAGACACTAGAACACAGGAGTGAACTTTCTATGTAGACATCAGCTTGACCACTCCATGTTCAATGACTGATGTGGGTGTTGTCTTCATCAATGAGGTGTTACTGTTAGTTCTTTGAGAGCAACATATTGTTTTTGCAGAAGCCTGGATTGTTTGTGGATTTTCATGGAAGCCATTTGGCCAACAACACATCAAACACATTGTAGATGTAGAACAAACATTTAGGGCTTCATATGGAAATGAATTTATCTAGTAATTCATTATCTAACATCCACATTCTAAGTCATTCAATGATAAGTAAAGCAGAATATTATCATTTGTTTTCTATCAGAAAAATCATACTTAATGTTAGATAATCTGGTTAGAATGTTTAACACCTACTGAAGTATTTAGCATTTTTTTTCTCTTTGGAGGAGAGATTCAGCCATCCGAACATAAAGATCTCAATCTCAATTGGGATGGGGGGGTGGGGATTTAAATAGAAGACTGACTGGCCTTAAGCTCTTTCTAAATGTCTACTCTCACCACAGAAACCAACATACAGCATACCTATACAGGACATAAAAAAGAAGAAGATCACGAAAACGTATAATTCAGAGTACACCCTCACTTCTGTCTCATAGCCTACAGACCCTAATCAGCCATTTGTTTTTCTGTTAAAAAAGACCAGACCATATTCTGTCTTTTTTTCTTTTCTTTTATTTTTTGTAAATGATTTGAAAACAATTTTAAATTTGAATTAAGCGTGTATTACATGTCAATCCCAGTTCCATTTCCCTTAGCTCCCCCCATTGCCCAGCTATCCCCTATCCCATTCCCTTTCTGATTCCTAGGGGGGGTGAGGTTGCTTCATGGATTCTTTCATTGCTATTTGCAGCTTTGGATGACACAATGTCTCCAATATCCCACTGCATCCCAGTGCTACCCTTAAGTAAAACATGTTTTTTATTCTCTATTTTTGTTATGATTTTGAAGGAACATGACGCTGACACCTCCACTTAGTCCCCTCCATGGAGGGCTCCATGGAACTTTTCAAGTGTTCTCTTCTAACTTCACTCAAATCGGAATTTTCTCTGGCTGGTTTTACCTTGAAGGATATCCAACATCCACAGCTAAACACTGAGCTGAACTCATGGTATCCAGTTGCAGATAGGGAGGAGTGATGAGCAAATGTGTCCAGACCAGGCTGGAAAAACCCATAGAAATAGCTGACCTGAGCATGTTGGAGCTCATGGACCCCAGAGTGATAGCTGGGAAACCAGCATAGGGAGGGAGGAGTGAGGGAGGGAGGGAGAGAGGGATAGAGGGAGGGAAAGGGAACTGGGATGGAAAAGGAAAGTAAGAAAAAACAACTCCATACAATAAAGGAACTTTGAGAGGCAATAAATAAATAAATAAATAATGAAGAAATATTAAAAGTCAAAAGAAGTGTATGTGCATACAAAACACACACATACATATGCATGTGATATATACACATATATATATATATATATATCACATTTATATGTGATATCAAATCTGCATTGAATGAAATCTGATAACTTCTGCAACATATCACAAAACCCTTGCCATATTTCATCTCTAGGAGGAAGCAGCTGGGCTCTAGGTTGGTTAAGGGTTTTTGTTCCAGTCTACAGCACTGTGGGTATGGGTAACTATTAGTCTGCTGACAGTAGTAAGTGGCAGCATCTCCGGCCTCTATGCTGCTGATTGTGAGAGAATAAGAAGTCCCAGACCCACTGCCACTGAAGCGAGTTGGGACTCCAGAAGCCAGGTTGGATGTTTCATAAATCAGGAGTTTGGGGGCAGCTCCAGGCTTCTGTTGGTACCAGTGCAAACGACTTGTGCTTACACTTGAGCTGGCACTACAGGTGATGGTGACCTTCTCCCCCTGAGATACAGCCTTGGATGCTGGAGACTGGGTAAGCACAATATCTGCCCTGGACCCTATGAATAGGATTAAGAAGAAAAGACAGAGATGTTAGTAGCCATAGAGATGGGCAAATAAACTGATACAATCCAACATTCAAAAAAAACACATTGAAAGGTAGTTTATCTTACACAAACTACTCCAGGGAATATAGTATTGAAGCCTAACTCTGAGCCTGTCTTACCTGTGACACTGATCAGCATGAAGCTGAAGATCTGCACCCACAAATCCATTGTGCTTTCTAACCTCAGTCTCAGGCTAGTTACCACTCTTCTGAAAAGAACGTTACTTTTAAGCAACAGTGAGATATTTGTGGTTTCTGAGGTTCAAATATGCAAATAACAAGATATAGAATAGAGAGGTCTTGCCTTTTACACCATGGTAGTCCTTTATGGGTAATCTACTTATTTATAGATATTACCCTGACAAGGAAGGACATTTCTGTGTCTTTCTTTTCCTCTCTTGTGTGAATATTCTGGCCCAGAGTATTGCTCATGCATTTCTGTGTGTGAAGGCTGCTTTAACTGGATCTTCCTGGTAAGTCAAGTTGTAGTGAGCAGTTTGTTGCATATTTTTCCCATGATAAACGTGTGTTGAGAATGATTGTTTATAACGTACTCAGAGAACATTTAGACACATTATCTGCTTCCTTGTTTTCTTGGAAGCTCTTCAGCAGAGACCTCCTTTGCCCATCACTTCTTAACTTGTATGCTAACTCATTTCTCTCTAATCACATATGGAACTATGTATACAACAAATTGACAGTGGAAAAGGATCCGGCTGAACCAGAGAAGACTTTTTCTTGACAGTTCAAGTTCCCCTCTTCTAAAGACCCTGGACTTGCTGGATTTTCAGGTTCAGTGGGTCAATGGTGGGTATGGTCACTGCCACAGAAACTTAAATAAAGTGAGAATAGCCATGTGGATTTTTATTGTGGGCCA